AGATAAGCCTATCTGCATTCATAAATGCATTGCTTTTGTGCATTTGGTTGAATTGTACATTGAAGGAAGCCAATGAATTAAGTTTATTTATACAAAAGATCATAACCATGCAATTTCCTGTTTCTTTAACAGAAGCTATTTTTCTCAGTTTGGTGCTGCATTCTAGATACTATATTATTTAATAAGTGCAAGGATATTTATTTATTGGTAATGACCTCAGAAACTGCACTATATAAGGAAAAGCACTATGTTTTCTGATAAGTGTGGTAAAATCCCTGAAGCTTTGATCAAATGCCAGCTGTTACATCAGTCCTGTTTGTAATCTTCCTGATCTATGACCTTGACCTTTACCATGTCTTTTGTCAAATCTATTTTAGTGATGGGCAAACCATAACATTTTTGCTGCAACTTTACAAAATTGTTCAATAAAATTTAAAAGCTGAAAACAATATTGGAAAAAGTAATTGAAACTCAATTAATCATGAAGTAGCCTTAAAGCATGGTATAGTTTAAGTAATTGTATTTTTTCTAATGAAACCATATACTTTGAGTTCAGTTCTCTAGCTCTCAGACTCTGTTATATAATGCATTTGATGCATTTATATATGTAGTATTAAATTCATGCATACCCTACACCTAAATAAGCTTAGTCAGAAGTTTTTCTGTAACTTTGGAATATACTGAGTCAAGAAACATCCAAAATACTTCTGGTCATCTAAAATTAAGTTAAAAATAACAAACAATACAATTTGTTCAGTTTGAATAACTGTCCAAGTGTCCAATGGTGTTTGAATATGCAATAAAATCTATTTCTGTTTATTAATACATGTTTAAAACAGGGATGCATATTGCATAACCTAGAAGCTACATATCTTCAGAGCCCTCATGCTCCCACATCTCTTGCTTCTCTGTAGGACATTCAGAGTTATTGGGAGTGGGAGAGCCTTTCCTCAAAAATCAAGAAGCAGCCTTCAACTGAAGCCAGCAATGCCAGTGAGGGGCACTGAAAAAAAAAAAGTTTTTCTCTAGCAACCAGATGCGGTTTTCCCCCACCAGCAATTTGGCCTGGCATAACTGGGATGGGGATGAGATTAAAGCCTCTTCCCATTCCTATGTGTGCATCCTGCTGACATTGGATGAAGCTTTTAGGACCAAAACAGTAGCATGCTCTGAGTGAAAGAAAGAGGCTTTAGCAGAGGATCACAAGTTAAACCTACAGTGCAGGCTGCCAGCATAGTTCTGCCCTTTACAGTAACATCTCCCAGACATAACTTCTTCATTCATCAAAAAGAATATGGAAGAGCAGTGCCTGGTGCTTGGCGATGTTTATATAAAACAAGTGTTGAAACATTTCATAAGGCATATGTATTACAATCCTATATAAATAGTAATGAATTGAAGTTCAAATTCTAAAGGTTATGCTGTATTTCATTCACTTACAAACTCTTTTTTCTGAATGTCATATGTTGCGATTGTATATTTGACTATTGTTGTTACTGTAGCCTTCACTGGTGGTAGGCTACAGTAACTAAAACATGTGAATAAAAATTAATGGGTCCATTGGCTCCTTGAACTGTAGTTAGTAATTGCTACCCCATCAGATGGGCCTAAATTTGCTTCTCTCTTTCAGATGTTGGCATTTAAATATAGTTAAATTTGAAGTACTCATTCAAACCTTAAAGCAAGTGATAACTGTATATAGCTGAGAACAATTCTATCTTCATTTCTATTAATACTGCAGATTGAAAATTAATTTGTAGCGCAGTTTTTGTGCTGAATTAAATGTTTATTGGGAGAACGATTTAAGAGATTTGATAATATGCAAATGTTTCTGCATTATTTCCCTTTCCTTAGTTTTTAAATAAATTGAATTACCTCAACTTTTTTCGGAATTAGTAGAATAAGCAATCAAGAAACAGCTCTTTCTAGCTATTTTGCAATTACTTTCCTTGTAGGACTCCTGAAGACATATATAGATATTCTAGTAAGGGCTATGGGTACACCTTTCTGATAATCATGTTTTTATATGTTATCAGCATAAAATTTGAAAAAAAAATCTTAATGGTGCGTTCTTGCACTAAGTAACAGCAGGTTCTTTCACTAAAGTATTTCTGCCATAGGTTCATCCCCTTTTTCAACCCAAAGGATACAGAGCCAGATAATCATCTGGGTTCATGAAGATTTTCTCTTTACCCTTACAATTCAGTAATCGTTTCCCCCATATTATGGTATCAGTCCTCAAATAGAAATAGTTTCAGCAAAGGGATCACTTCACACTAGACCAGACTCAAAAGTACTTTCTAAGCAAAGATACTTAGATATATATATATATATTCATGTTTTTCTTATTGCCTATCTAAATTCATACATCAGGAAATCCTGGGGTAAGATCTGATATAATTTATGATGATAATCTTACTGGTCCTATTTGGACAGAACAGAACAGCAGCTCTCAAGTTGCAGGGCTTTTCTCTATCTTATACTCACTGCATTTATGTGATTTTTTTTACTTGCAGTATATAGGTAATAATAGCTGTAAAATTTTACTCTTGGGATATATGTGAAATACTTGAAAATGGAACTTAGATTACTTAATTATAACAATTCACTTTTAAAATCTGTATACTTATGAAAAACAGTTCATAATATCATTCTGTGTTGATTTGTATATACTGCAACCATAGCAGACTTTGTATTAAACTACTTAAATATCCAGTGTAATACATTTATTTTCAGTTCTTTACTCAGAATGGTGTCTAGAGTTAAGATAATTTGAGACAGTAGCATAGGTTTTTCAGCCTAATCCTGTTCATTGTAAATGTCTGGAAATTGGAAGCAAATGTACATGTTAAAAGGTGGTTCTGTGTGTGACAATATAATTGACATTACTTGCTGTTACAAGAACATTTACTGCAACTTCTGAAATAATAGGACCATAGTTTTAAAGCAGTGTTTACAAATATTAATAGTTGACTTGATAATTGGAGTGCTCTAGTGTAATAAATGACATTATCCACTTGTGTATTTAGATAACCAGTAACTTCAGTGTCTAAAGAGGATAATTATTTCATATATTATGGCATCACTTACATAACTGGTTCACTTAAGTCTGCTTTCACAAAAGTGTAATGTCTGAAATGCTTGCTTTGATTTTTCTCTTTTCTTACTTCTCCATGGAAGTTAACTTTTCATATAACAAACTGTGCTGCTGTCTTACATCTGGGCTGACCTAGAGGTTCTTTGGAGGTGGGAAAGAAGGAGAAAATCAGCTAGAGCAGGGGTGAACAACCTGCAGGCCTAGGGCCGCACAAGGCTCCTGGCCTAATTTTAAAAGCCTTCTACATGAAATTATTTCAGACATCTGGCAAGAGCAATTTGTGCCTTGCCTGACAGAACAAATGTTCATTCATAGTTGCCAAACACTGTTTCTGTGACTAACATATGTAGACAGATTCCTCTTAAATGACAGAAAATGTGAGATTGAGAACCAGATTGGTTTTTAAGAGAGGAATGTGTTTACCTTGATTTAGTGCATATTTCAATAATTGTTTTATTTATAAAAATTTCTCCAAAAATATTTTTAATCGCCTAATAAATTTGCATATAGAAACCCAGGTGTTCCCAATAGGTTATTCACTGATTCTAATGCTTCACTTGAGGGTATTAATCTTTTGATTCTAAATAAACAGACATGTTGTATTTTCTATTTTTAACATGTTTAACTGTTGTTGCTTTGTATGTAAACTGTATATATTGTAAAAATCTTGATGTTAAGGACTCCTGGGATGATGGGGGATCTTAACTTTCAGGGTAAGACTGTATCTGGGGTGGCTTATGACATCATGGCCACCATGACAACCATGGGGCTGTCTCAATATGTTATTGGCCCATCACACGAAAAAGTACACACCTTTGATCTGGTTTTCTTGACTGAACTGGAAGATAGTGATCTGAAAACAGAAATAACATCACAACCCCTTGTCAGGGTTGGATCGCTCCCTACCGAGCTTTAGACTTTTGGCTCTTTTGCCCCCTCTGTAAGGAAGGGAGACCTTTTAAAATGGTCTGCCTCCAGAGGCTAATGGATCCCAATGGTTTCCAGAGGGCACTGGGGGAGTTTCTCATTGGTATGACTGGTGCTCCTGTCAAAATCCAGGTCACTCTGTGAAGTGCAGAGATGCAATGGGTAGTTGATATGATTCCAGGCACCTTCTTCCCTTGAGCGAAGTCTGGCCAGTTCCTTGGTACAAACTTGAGTTGAGGACTATTTATTTACATGTATTTATAGGCTTCCTATAATTGCCAAGGCCTTCCTAGGCGCTTACAATGTGTAAAACATATTAACAGAGTAAATGCACATTAGAAACCGATTAAAACATAATAATTTAAACATCTATACAATCAATTATAAAGGGCCACAGAATTTAGGCTAAATGTTAAAAAAAATTCCTAAAAAGATATGTCTTCACCTGATACTGAAAAGAAAATAGAGATGGCGCCAGGCGAATTTCTCTAGTGAGGGAGTTCCAAAGATGGGAAGCAGCACTGGAAAGGGCCATTCACCTAATTGCCACCCCTCTCTTCTCCCTGAGGGGTGGTTCTTGTAGAAAGAGCTCTTGAGCTGATCTAAGGGGGAGGGTAGGTATATATGGGTGCAGATGGTCCTTTAGACAACGAAGCAGGAGGGAAGGTGGCTAGAGAAGCTGGAGGAAAACACATGCTGTGTCCAGTTGAACACAGGTTAGAGCTCATTATTGAGCCTGCTCTGTGGTGGTGAGGGTGGCAAAGAGCTAGTTCTTTCCCACTAGCATTGCATCTTGTCAGTGTCGTCCAGCAGACTTTTCCAAGTGGATCATCCCTGTTATGTTCTGGGCCAGAAAAGAACGCAGAGCCCTTGGTAGCTCACTGTGATAAATTTGCACAGCACTTTGTTGCTCAGATTCGTCATAGATTAAATGTGATGTGGTTCCACTAGCAGAGGCATCCAGAACATGGTCTGGTTCAGTTTTATTGGATGAGCTTCAGTTACTGAAGTCTGAGAATGTGGACAAGGTACTTGGTCAAGCCCAGCCCACCACTTGTTCTTGACCCTTGGCCCCCATTCTACTTTAGTCTAGAAGGCTATGAGCATGTCATTGAGTAAAGAAGTGATACCAGCCTCTCTAAAAGAGGGTGTAATTAAGCCACTCCTGAAAAATCCAAATCTGGACCCAGAGTATGTTAATTATAGGTTAGTGACCAACATCACCTTCCTGGGCAGGGTGCTTGAGCAGGTAGTAGCTGAGCATCTCCAGGCACTCTTGAATGAAGCAGACTCTCTGGATCCATCTCAGTCAGGCTTCAGGTCTGGTTTTGGAATGGAAACTTGCCTTGGTCATCTGTGGGATGACCTTTGCTGTGAGAAAGAAAGGGGGAGTGCAACCCTGTTGATTCTCCCAGACCTTTCAGCAGCTTTTGATGCCATTGACCATGGTATCAATCTGGATAGGCTGGCTTGGTTAGGAGTAGGAGGGACTGTATTGCAGTGGTCCTGCTCCCACTTGGCTGGACAATTCCAGAAGGTGGTGCTGGGAGATTATTGCTCCCTCCCTGCAGGATTACTGTAAGGTTCTATTTTATCCCTTATGCTATTAAACATCTACATGAAATTGCAGGGGGAAGTTATCTGGAGGTATTGGCTGAGGTACCACCAATATGCAAATAACCACTCTACCTCTGTTTTTCATCAAATCCAGGTAAGACAGTGGTCACTCTGAATCTGAGTCTGACCAATGGATTGGATAAGAGTCAACAAACTAAGACTCAATCCAGAGAAGCTGGAGGTGCTGTTATTGGGTGGTTCGCTTGTCCAGTTTGGGTAATATTCAACCTGTTCTGGATGGGGATACACCAATGAACAAGGTTTATAGTTTGGGGTGCTCCTGGACCCAGAGTTGTCACTTAGGGTACAAGTGGACTTTGTTGCACAGAACACTTTGTATTAGCTCAGACTTTTATACCAGTGACAGTGCTATCTGGACTGACAGAGGCTGGATAACAGGCGTCTATGCTTTGGTTACTGCTTGTTTAAATTACTGCTATGCACTGTATGTGAGACTGCTTTTGAAAACATTCCAGGAACTTCAGCTGATCCAAAACAGGATAGCAGGACTGTTCATTGGGACGGGCTTATGAGAACACTTTATACCAGTTCTCTTCCAGCAACCCTGGCTGCTGATTGAAATCTAGGCCCAATTCAAATTGGTAATGTTAACATTCAAAGCCCTAAACCTCTTGGAGCCAAGTTATCTGAAGAATTGCCTTCTCCCATATGTACCTGCCGAGACTCTGAGCTCATATTTGGGGGTTCTTCCCTGGGGGACCCTTCCAAAGGAAGTGATGCTGGTAGCTACCAGGAAGAGGGTACACCAATTTTATAATAAGCTCCCCAGAGAGATGCATCTGGCACCTACTTTGTTTTGTTTTTGGTACCAGCAGAAGACCTTTTTATTTTCCCAGCACTCTAATAAATTTGTAAACGTTCTTTTATATATTCCATTTTATTCTATACTACTGCTGTGCTTCTGTGTTAAATGATAACAATCGCAATTATGGTTTTGTTCTTTTAAATTCTTTTAAATTCTTTTTGTTTGTGTATCCTTTTAAATTTTGTTTAATTTTAACTTATGTTAACCACCCAGAGGGCCCTGACTATTAAGTGCTATAAAAATGACTTAAATAGAATTCAGATACCTTTATTTTAAATAGGGTCGATATCTAGAAATTCCTTAAGTAATAATACAGTCTAGACAAAAGACTGCTGTTGTTTTCAGTTTGTTTCAATTCCTAGTGCAGAAGAACTAGTTTTATTCTCATTTCTTTAACCAAAGTATGCTTGCAAGTTTTTTTGTTTAATTTACATTTTTTCTATCTTTTTTCCCACACACATGCCCACAGCAATCACCATATGCAAAGATTTCTTTTCCCTTGTGTAAAGACTCAGGAATTCTCAAATGAGACAGATTCTAGAGACAATATGCCTACTAGAGGAATTGCAGGTTGAACTGTGCTACCCACAGGTGCCTCCTGTTTGTTTGTTGATAAAACTTTGGTACCAGTGACTTTAATAAAATCTTTAAGCAGTTTATGCATACATACTACAATATAAAATGATACATAATTAAAAACATAATAGAAATATATTTATTTATTTAAAACATTTCTATGCCACCCCCATCGCAACAAAGCCTCGGGCCGGCTCACAAAGAATGCTAACAAGAATATAGATGCTAACAATTACTGACACAATCCATTACAAACCAGGAAAGTCTGTTTAGATAAGTTTTCAACAGGTATTTGAACGTTGCTGCAGTTTCTGCCTCTTGAATTGTATATGGGAACCTGGTGCAGAGAGCAGGCGCCACTCCTTAGAAGACCCACTTTTGTAATATTGCATGGTGACATTCAGTTGATTGGGAGACCAATAAGACCTCATATGAGCATCTTAAGGGCTGCCTGGATATATATGCCAAGGAAATTTGATATCCTGGTTCTGCAGTATTCAGAGCCTTATATAAGAACAGGACGTTGAACATAATTTCATAGCTAATACAAAGTGCAATCTTTAAATATAAGCATATTATTAAATTTAGATTCCTTCCAAGGAACTGAGCTGCTCTATTCTCCACTGTCTGCTCCCAAAGAAGATGCAAGAAGAGTCCCTCATAGGACTTAGGTAGTTTAATCAAGAGGTTACCAGTGCATGAACCACTGATTCCACAAGACATGAAAATACGTTGGATATCAGAATAGCACTGTATGAATAGTAGTAGTAGTATTACATTGCATTTATATTCTACCTTTTTCCTATTATAAGGAACCCAAGACAGCTTACATAGCTCCATTGTATGTGCCTAACAACGGAGATAGATTAGGGTGAGAAAGGGTGACTAGCTGAAAGTCAACCACTGTAGAAACTACTACTCCCGTGCCCCCTGTCCAACACTGTAACCACCACAGCACATTCATTGGCATGAAGCTGTCTTGAATTTTGAAACTCAAGAAAATTCAGTTGGATGCTTTCACTGGCACACAGTAGGCACAATTATGTATTCTTAAACACATTTTGCCCTGTTCATGGTAATGTTGCACCCGTTCTCCAACCACATTCTAACCTGTTTTCATTGTCTAGAAGTCCCTGATAAACCAGAAACCTATCTGAATTCCACTGTGCTAAAGTCAGCACTTAGTGATGTTCATGGCCTTTCACACCTCATCCTTCCATGACATGGCAGCATCCTTGGCAGAATACCTGGCCACTAGGAAATCCCTCAGAGCTTTCAGGAATCCACCAGATTTAGTATATCTCTGGGAAAGGACCACCTTAAAAGTTCCTCTATATCTGTCAGAAGGGACAAGCACCATGAGACCAAGTTGACTGACCATAACAGTGGGGTAATTTATATCCAGACCATCCCCCTTATATCCTGGAGTAAAGCCTGATTCAAGGATATACCCTACTTGAGTGTCAGATCCCATGGTTGTGTTGGAGACCATGAAATGTTGAGCCAGCCCTGTTAAGGCCACAGGGCTGGGTGAGGTCCATCAGGAATCTCAGAGTTCTCAAAAACTACTTCTGAGACAACTTCAGACACCTTGTTCTGGAAGGTCAAATGACAATGGGTGGCTGACAAGTAAGATGGAATTTTTATGGATCATGGAACCTCCCGCCTGGTTTGCTGCTGAACTGAATACCCAGGCAGGCAAAACTAGGTCACATTGACACTGCCCAGCTCACTTATTCGGGTTTCTGTAATGCACAGCAGCTTCCCTCCATCATCCATAATCATATCATGGTGAGGTAGATGTTATTATGGAGTATAAACAGCATTATAAACCTGACTATCACAATCAAATGACCAGTAAGCGAATGCAGTTCAGCCTGGCCCTGTTGCTTGAATCTGGCAAATAATCTAGTGAGATCAATCTCATCTAGTTTAGCTTCTCCACATCCTGTTTCTAAAATCGCTACATTTGCAGCCATTCTGAAACCTGACATTGCCTGCCTCAGATAGTAGGATCCTTTGATCTCCACGTGACTGACATCTTGTTCCCTCCTGACCTTCACTTTCTGCCCCTTCATTAGCTGGGATGCCAGCTTCCATCAAAGACAACCATGTGTTGTCTTGCTCTCAATTTCCTTTTCCTTCAGTTCCCAATGTAGAAAATAAACCCATGAGGAACTACTGGGGAAGATAGAAAACAGCAAGTATCACTTTCCCATAGTCAACAGCTGCTTTATAACAATAGCTAAGATGAAAGCAGTTCTATTTATCCATTAACGTGCATCTTAGGAAAAAAATGCCATTTTATGCACCTGTTTGTTTTAATTTTTTATAAATACTGGAGTATTCATTTACTTTCTGTAATCTCCTACAAAATGATGTTCATATAACTCTCAGTTGATTGCAAAAGGCATAGTATTGAATGTGAGTAACAAGCTCTGGTTAAGACTCAAACTAACATCTCAGACTTCAGCACAAATCCACAAGATTAGCAGGGAAATCCAAGTGGCATATTTTTAAGTAGCTCTTTAACACTTCTATACATACTGGTTCTTTTTTTGTTGATTATGCTAATAATTAATTTTATGAAATAGTGCATACCTAAAAACAGAAATTTCCATACCATATTATTGATGAGATTATAATTTGTTCCTTTTTAGCTTGACTTTCTTTGGGCTTTTTCTTTTCATATTCTTGTAAATAATTTATGATTCAGGTATTAGTTATCACCTAAATGAGGTTTCTAAGTTGTAGGATATACCACCAAAGGTTCCTAGGAATCTGCTTATATTTCTGGGAAAAGAAAGGATAGTTCTCATTGCTATTAGTTCTCTGTATATGCAAATCTCTTGTTTCTTAAAGATGCAAAACATTGCTTGTATTTGTTATAAGGTCTTGTCAACTTTTACTACAAATGCTTTTACATCTTTAAGTTACACACAGACACACATATGTGACTCGCAAATATGTCACACACTCCACTTTGAGAAATTCTTGTTTTGGGAACTGAAAAAGAACTGACGGTGTGCTAGATTGAAATATATATTGAAGTATTGCTATCTCTTTCAGTGTACTTGATCTTATGGTTGTTCTATTCTTTGTAAAGAATCAACATACCATACATCACAATTTAAAACATATAACTAATAAGTGGATGCATAAGAATCGAAAATACAAATTGGGTGAATCTTGTAATGAGTGGGAGATTTAAAACATTATTGAAATAAACTCCAAATAGCAACATATTAAACTCATTATCTAGGTTTTTGGCTATAGCAGTCTTTTGACTATTCCTGCCGCTCTGTGTGATGAATGGAAGAGGAACAATTTTCAAAAGATCGCTCTTTGGCTGGTATGTGCCAACTCATTAGGTGTTCAGTGAGTATTGGCAAGAATGACTGGTAGCCCATGGTACTTGGCATGCCACTATCATGACTTTTATCTCATTTCCTATATTTAAGTGATAAAAGATTCTAGTATTCTTTAAGTATCTGCTAGAGCAAGTTAATTAATGTTTATACATGTGACAGACACCGATTTATTAATAGACTAAGCATTTCTTGACTATTGGATATGTTACAACTGAATTGGAGTATATTAATCTTAAACTACATGCTAATATATGAGACTTCAAGATTTTAAAAATGAATACGAACTATGAACTATGTATTGAACGATGGAAGCAGTATGAGAAAAAGGAACTATTTGAAAATACTGCATAATAGAATGGAAAAAAAGCATTTACAGGATAATTCTATGCATGATTACTTAGGGTACAGTACTATGTGACTGTATGTAACATTCTAAACTTTGAAGGTTAGACATCGAATTGAGAGAAGAGGAGTGTGGCAGCAAGGTTAGGCTCTGCAGTTCCCTCATCAAGAACATTTAGACAACCAATTTCAGCAATCTCACAAACAGTCTCTTTGGCTTCTCAACAAGGAGGTGGGCTGAGGCAACACCTGGATTATTGGAAGCTAGCAATGCCTTGTACCTACCTGTCCGCCGGAACAGCCCCTAACACCTGCACCAAAGGTAGTCTTATGTCTTTGGAATTTCAGTAGCTGCAGAAAAAAACATGCCAGCTGAGAAACCGAAGGGAAAACCTTCTAAAGGTGGATTCTCCACTGCAACCTTAGAAAACTTTCCCAAGCTTTCAGTAGGAACTCTGCCAGCAAGCCATTGTCAGCCATAGAATTTGCCTTTTAACATGAGTTCTACCATATTTAATGGGGATAGCTCATTAGCACATGTGCTTAGTATTTAAGTTTCAGTTTGTGAATTGTGTTTAGAAAACTGCTATAAAATATTACTTTTGTATTTTCATTGTCATTCTCATCACTTATTTTATTTATTTATTTATTTATTTATTTATTAAAACATTTCTATGCCGCCCCTTGCCGAACTACACGACAGTTTAGGGACATGCACATCCACTGCAACTTTTTTAAAAAACTATTTTAGAAAGCTTCTGAATTGACCCTTTTCACTACCCCCCAGGAAACCCCAAACTGGATTTTTAATTATTGTTGAGCACATTTCTTCTGCTTTTATTCTTGAAGGATTCATTAAATAGAATAAATACATTTAGTATCTAATGCATATGTACTTGGGAATATGATATAGAGATCTTCCTAAATATTTCCTTTCTAAAATACAGTGAAGGTGGCAAGGGCCGGAAGCTAGTGGTGAAGATTCTGTTAGATCCTAGATACTGACAGCTAATGGACATTTTTAAACTGTCAGCTAGTGTGCTCAATAAAAGTTGAACAATTAATGTTGTTTAAGAAAAGAAAGTGCAAAGTTATTATAATGTTTAGAAAGATTAAGCTGAGCAAGTTTGTACAGCTCTGGGATGCGTCTTTCTATCTCCTTCTTTCTATACTACTTCTATACTGCTATACTATACTACTTCTAGGCCACCTGTAAGATTAAATAGAACATACCCTAGATATGCCTTGAATATTGTGACTGATCTTTTTCTTCTTTTTCTTACCTTATAGGTATCAAGCATGCATAATATATGACAAAAGACTGAAAAAAGAAATACTTGATCCCTGAAGTTTATAGAAGAAAATATTTTTTGCTTTGGAATTGTGGTATAAATAAGCCTTTTTGTTCATCTGCATAAATGCAAGCATATAGTACAACAGAGATGGATAGAAATGGAAGTTTAAGCCTTCTACAAAGACTTAAAGGAAGCATCATTCAAGGATCGTTGCGCCTAGTTTGTATCCAGTTGTGTAGAAGCCTTTAGACTTCCTTATTAAGCCGAATCTCAATTCACCTATAACAAATTAGACATTAAAGTAAATAAAAAGGAAGCCTTTGTGGATATTTGTCTTGAACATGACTCATGGAGAAGAGCTTGTCTCTGAGATGCACCAGGATTCCATTGTTCTAACTTACCTAGAGGGATTACTAATGCATCAGGCAACAGGAGGTTCCGGTTCTGTAGTTGACAAAAAGTCTGGTGAGTCTGGTGCAGAGGATCAGAACATCAAGGTTTCTGGAAATACATCTCCCAGCTGTCAGAGAGATGGTCCAGTCCCTAGCACACTTACGCATCGAAGTTCTGGAATGCTACACCACAAAAAGGCAAGGTTGTTACAGTCTTCTGAAGACTGGAATGCTGCAAAGAGAAGACGGTTGTCTGATTCTATTGTGGATTTAAATGGAAAAAAAGAAGCTTTGTTAGCTGGAATGGTTGAAAATGTGCCTAAAGGGAAACAGGATAGCACATTACTGGCCTCTTTGCTTCAGTCATTCAGCTCTAGGCTTCAGAGTGTTGCTTTGTCACAACAGATTAGGCAGACTCTTAAGGAACAAGGGTATTCCCTCAGTCATGATTCTCTGCAAGTTGAAAAAGACTTAAGGTGCTATGGTGTTGCATCCAGTCACTTAAAAACTCTGTTGAAGAACAGCAAAGCAAAAGATGAAAAGCTGGAGACAAGTCTGCCTGAGCTAACAACAAACCTGGTTAAGGATCGGTTTATAGAGTCTTCACATGCAGGACAGAGTGGTCCAAAGGTGATGAATGAATCACTGTCCTGTGCTGCAAGGTTGCAAGCTGTTGCGAGCATGGTGGAAAAAAGGTCTAGTCCTGCTACATCTCCTAAACCCAGTGTGGCTTGTAGCCAGCTAGCTTTGCTTCTTTCAAGTGAAGCACATTTGCAACAGTATTCCAGGGAACATGCTCTGAAAGCACAAAATGCAAGTCAAATTGCAAGTGAGAGACTTGCTGCTATGGCAAGATTAAAAGAAAGTATTCCAAAAGATGTTGGTCATTTCAAGCTGTCTAAAGGAATGGAAAGCCATCTGAATGGTCATGTAAGATCATCAGCCAAATCAATAGCCAACAAAAGCAATATGACACATTTTCAGAGTCCTATGGGCATAATTCATTCATCTCCCAAAATCATAGGCTACAAAGCAACAGTGGAAAAAAATCATTTGAAACCACCTACCAATAGTAGTTTACTTCTCCATCTCCTTAAAAATCACAATGCCACTAAGCAGACAAAAGGGTATGAACAGAATGAAAGAGCTAGTGTTTTTGAAGAGAGTAGCACACCAACTACTGTTGATGAGTACTCTGACAATAATCCAAGTTTTACAGAAGATGACAGTAGTGATGATGAAAGTTCCAATTCTAATTGTCTTCCTATAGATTTATCTTTGAAACAGAAAGCAAATAAAATAGATTCTGCACAGACCACTTCTCTAGATAATTTAACCCAATCCTTTCTTCATAACTGGGATTCAAAAGTTCCATGCCTAGAACACACAGAAGAGAAAGATTCTTCTAAAAGTGCAAAACTGAATCCACATCAGAAAGTAACTTTGCTTCAATTATTACTTGGCCACAAAAATGAAGACAATGTAGAGAAAATAATGGAAACAGAGGGAACATTAGTTACATCTGATGTGACAAAATTCAGTTTACCAATGGGTAACAGAACTCCTGTAACAGAATGCTCTGGTACAAATCGAATTACTCCAATAAACACTCCCCCTTTGCTATCTACTACAAAAGCAGATTCACCTATTAACCTTTCACATCATTCTCCTTTATTGATCAAGCATAATTCACCACCATACACTTGCATCATACAGCCTGAGAGACTAATTAATCCAGCCTCTAAGCATTTGATAGATCTTACAGTACACAAAGAACTTCAAGGAAATAAACAAAACAGAAAAGAAACTGTACAAACATCTTCATCTTTTAGTGCAAGTAAACTGTTGCAGAACTTAGCCCAATGTGGTATGCAGTCTTCCATGTCAATGGATGAGCAAAGGCAAACAGGCAAACAGATGATGCTTCTAAATACAGAAAAACCAGTAGGATTGATAGATGGACTAAATAGTTCCCTGCTTACTAACACATCAAGTACAATCGAGGAAAGCAAAATACTCAGTAGTCAGAGTCTACCAACAGAACAAAAATTTCCCAGTTCAGAAATCCAGAATTTGCTTGAAAGACGCACTGTCCTCCAGCTCCTTCTGGGAACCTCCAATAAAGTTATGAGTAAAACAAAAGACAGGATTCTTTCAAAAGAAGAGAATTTTCAAGATGTGACAGAAAAGACGTTGAATGAACAAATATTAACTGTAAAAATAAAAGCGGAACCTTCTGAAGAATTAAACCCCCTTCAGAATCCAAATGCACAACAAATAAGGGAAAGTGTCAATAAGAAGTTTCATGGAATAGCTCATTCATCAGAGAGAAATGCAGCCACGTCTCCAGCACCAGAGGAATTTAAACCCAACCCCCTTTCACCTCAAGACTTTTCTTTTTCAAAGAATGGCCTTCTAAGCCGATTGCTGAGACAGAATCAAGATAGCTACCCCACAGATGAATTTGACAGGAACCACAGAAATAATGAACGGACATTCGTGGAATCAAAAACTCAGAGCACAATCCCAAAAAAGAGGAAACTGCATTCTGAGCCTTCAGAAGGGCCTTTAAAAATACTAAAAAGTAGCAAAAGTAATATATCTGATGTTGCAAACCATCCTAAGTCTTCTGCAGATGCCTTGTATGGAACTGGGCTTACCCAGAAAGAACTTAAATTTAGCAGAACTGATCTTGAATTAAAATATTCTTCAGGCCATGGTCCAAGTAACGAAGCTGAGAGCAGGAGCTGGGCTAAAGAAAGCAAAGGATTCAATGTATTGAAACAATTGCTTCTGTCAGAAAATTGTGAAAAAGACATGTCTCAGCATAGGAATAATTCAACCATAAGTGATGGTAAAAATAAAGGAAACAAAAATATGAAAGCTGAATTCAGTGTTGCTTCAGTACATTCAGTAGTGGCAAATCCTGGTCAACAAAGCAATTGTTTGGATCACCGAACATTTCAGTATTCAGTTGCAATGAAGAGTCCTGCTAATTCTCCCTTTGCAGAACACTTGGGCAGCACTTTATCATCAAAACCGGAATGTGACCAGTTCAGTGTTTGCCATGTACCTAATGAAAGGGGACCTATAAAGTGGGTTATCACAGATACAGACAAAAATGAACATGAGAGAGACTCCCCAAGGCTGACCAAAACTAATCCAATACTGTATTACATGTTGCAAAAGGGAGGGAGTTCTGTTAACATTCAGGAAGCACACGGCAAAGATGTTTGGAGTGATGCATTTACAGAAAATGCATCGGCTGTCACATGCAAGAAAGAAATGTCACCTGCGACAGAACGTAAAATACCATTTCATAATGTAAGAAATACATACAGTAGCCATTCAAATAATAAGGTGTCCCTTCAACACAATGTGAATGGAGAAGTATATGGACTCTTAGAAAAAGTGTTAACAATAAAAAAAGAACCAGAGTAAATTATAATTCTATGAAGTGTTTACAGAGTCAGGTTTATGTTTTTTCCCCTTTTAAAAATAGTGTTGTATAAAACTAGCATGATTTGAGAAAAGCATGGTATAACTAAAACTTGGTTTTGTTTGAGGAACTTTTTGCTGATAAATACATGCAGTTCTTTATTTTTTATTTTTGTGTTACAGGAAATCTGTCACTAGTATCTTCATGAGCTGTTAATTCTATAAATTCCCGTGATACATTTGTTATCGGAGATAGAGGCCTGTAATTTTCCTGGCACAGTGTATTCCGCCACTAGAAGCCTGGCACAATGGTCTCATAAAGTATGAACATTCTGTCCCATGTAATTCAGCTTATTCATACATGTCTAAATCATGCAGGCAATGGACCACAGACCTCATAAGGACCTTGTAATCATGGATTATGCCCAGTGTTAGAGTAGACTCATTGAAATTAATGGGCGTAAACTAACATTGGAGTTAGCATATGGCAAGGAACTGAACCACTTGGGTAGAATTTTTTGGATATACCTGGGCTATTGCAGAAACAATCACAGAAGCAACAGAAACTAAGGTGAGAAATGTAAAAAGGATCTTAGTTGAACCACTGGTATTAGCATGTAATGTAATGTAATATACAACTTACAGTGGTACACCATTTCATGCTCATACATGATATATTTTCATTTTTGAAATTCTGATTTTTGGGACAGTATAATTTTGTGTTTTTCATACATTTATGAAATGTGATTTTTTTTATATAAATGGAACATTCAGACCAAGAGATTTGTTCATTGTACTTTAAATTTCATCAGTATTAGCTAGAGAAATGTATCAAAATGAAACTTTTAGTGCTTCCAAATGGCTTTTTATTGCATTTTGATATCTGGGAGAACCACAAGAACTATATTATGTCTTTTTCTAGTTGCATTTGGAAAATGCCTTCCCAAGACACTCAGCCAGAATAAATATAAAATTTGGTTTATGACTTTGCATTTTTATATAAAGCTAGATTTACAGTAAAAGTCTCTTACCCAGTTTCACATGCTTCTTCATTTACACACAGCCAAGTCATCCAGTGAAATTAACGCATAGAGAAAGTTCAGTTTTCCAGAATCAGTGTTGATTTGTATATAAAACAGAGAAAATACAATGGTTAATCCATTCCCTTGGTCTCTTTTCTCATCAGTCCATGCATGTGTACAACACAAGCGCTGCTAAAGTATGGAAAAATAATATGTTGTTGAGGTGTTTTTAGAATATGTAACAATTTTAGCTGGTTTATGCATAGGCCATTAACTTTTAATATTCCAAAATTAAGGGGTTATTATAGATCGGAAGAGTGGAATGACACTTTTAAAATTGCTTTTAAGAATGCATGAAACAAACGAACAAAACCCATACTTATTTCAGTGTAGATACTAGTCAAGACATTATCCTAACACATCATTAGGTCTGGAGAAATTGGTGAAGTCAACAAGTAGACCTTTCCCAATTTGAAAATAAGCTTTCATTTAATAGACTATCCTGTTCATAAATGAATAGCAATGTGTGAGCAACTGGCCAAAAATCCTCACTGTTATTAACAGCCTTCTTTTTCCCATCCTCAAAAAGATTTTCTGGGTACACTAATTGATTTTGCCTTAAATTTCACTTTAGATAAATTTCTGCCTACTGCAATGACTTGAAACACATCACATTCTAAATCAGGATATTAATTAAGAAAGTGAAACGCTAATTATTTGGAATGTTTGGTTACTCATAGTAACATTTCTAACAGTTTTTACTACTCTGCAGAATATTCTGTGAATTTCTTAAAAACAACAATAACTATGCAACAACAAAAAGTTATTGACACCTAATCAAATATAGTTGAAGCCTTCCATTAATTTTGAAGGGTAAGCATGTACATTACTGCTAACTGGATAATACTTCATATTTTTCATAAATTTCTGTCCATTATGAACCTGGATTGAGTTGTAAATGTTATTTAGGTATCAGCCCATCAGATTAAATGGGACTTAATGCTGAGCAGACAGTTATACAGCGTATACATTATTTTGTTCTATAGCATTTAAATATAGCAAATGAGAATTCAAATATCACACATTCAAATTATTAATGTGTGGTATTTTGATCATTGTAATGATGTTGAATTATTTTTGTTTGCCGCAGTCATTGTTAAAGGAGGTGGTACTTGTTTTATCAAATTTGTTAACCTTGCAGCAGCATCACCACGACCACCATCACTACTGCTATTATTTTTATTGAAATAATGTGTGCATACCAAAGGCTATGTGAGCTCATAGACCTAGAAGGAATACCAGATTGTAACTTACTCAGAAGATAATGTTTATGTCTTTAGATAAAGAATTCAGTGCAAAATGGCATGAAAAAAATTGGCTGAGACCTTTTTGTATTGCAGTCTTTAGTCATTCCACTCCAATTGCTAATAGAGCTTTCACCTATGCATGTAGAAACACAGAGACAGAGTGAATCAGAAGGGGCCTCCCGGGCCATCTGGTCTGACCCCCAGCTCCAGCCGGCTCTGCTCATGACATGCCTCTCATGTGCATGTCTAGCCTATCCTTGAACACCCTCACTGATGGGGCTTCAACCCCATCAGGATCCATACCCTTGGGATCCTAACTGTCAGGGAGTACATTTTTACCTTATATTATTTGAGCATAATCATATAGGCTACATTTATGTACTCTAATCTTATAAAGTGATGTTCCAATAGATTGTAACCTATTAAACACAGAGGTTAAAGAAATTGACAGTTTATATATTTTTCCTTGGGTCATAGCTATACTGATTTTTAAGAGTTCACAGATATCAGTTAAGTTGTGTTTATTCTATGAAGACAGACATACCACAAAATTATATTCTACATTGCAAACCCTTGAATGACATTGTCCCATCCGAAGCATTTGCTTACTCAATGCAGAGATCTCAGAGTTGGGGAGCAAATGTGTTTTGGACCAAAAGGTTGTAGATATGCAAATCAGCAGCCTCAGCCAATTAGCCAATGATATGCAGTTAAGCAAGTTTGGAGACTTGCAAAGCTATGTTTTGGTTGTAGCATTGTTACATAGTTCACTATGAAAGACATGCATGCATCACATAAGTAATCAAGATGATACAGGATCAAGTTATACATGGTGGTGGTATACCTATGGGCTTAGCTGAACTTGATCTGCTCCTGTATGGTATGATGTAGGAGATGAGTGTCTGATCTGAGCAAAAGGCATAAGTAGATACATGTATCTGTACATTATATTATTGCAGATTATTTTTCAAGTGCATTTCTTTCAGATGGGCTTTGTTCTAGTAACAAAGTCATCTGGAAGCAGCAGCAACTAAGGCTTAGGTAATAGACTTCAAGCAAATAAACTAGGGGAGAAAAGATTCCACTTTTCTCACTTCCCTCTTGCTTCTATCAGGTTTTCTCCATCCTCCTGGTTTTTATATGATTGTAGCATATTAAAACACTTGGTTTTTCTATCACCCTTCATAGTTTCAGCTTTACATAGTGGGGAAAATAAAATGGAAAGTGTAGTTGATACATGAACGAACTCACAGTTTTTACAATAAGGCCAGCAGTTAAAAGTATGATGTCGTCTTCCTTTATAATCTAAAACAGGAATAATGTGGGAATTGGGGTAGAGCACAACATTTGTCTCTTCTTTCTTCACAATTCCATGAAGGCAAACACAATCATCACAAAACCTCGCTGAGGACAGTGGATCTTGCTTCCAAGTAGAGATGCACATCTGGAATTCTATGCACACTTGCTTGTGAATAACCCCTATTGAATTCATTGATATTAAGTAAACAGATTTAGGATTACCCTGAAAAAAATTCAGTAGAAGTAGTTCATCTTTTGAAGGTAGAACACAATAGTTTTAACAGGAAATCAGCCATGTGTTTTCTTCTTAAACTATATATTTTTTAAAAAAATAAATTATAAAGTTGTTTAATTTACATTTTTAAAAATAAATAATTTCATTTTCCCCAACCATCAGTCAGATGTGATAAAGCTGTCACTTATGACAGCAAGATATTACCAGTTTATTCTGGGCTGCATCATAGTTGAGTAAACTGGCAAGTTATATTTTATATTATATATATGTGTGTATGTATAAATATGTAAATACATAGACTTGTTACACCTACATGTTGAAATTGGTTTTTAAAAAAGTGATGTAAATAGTGGTTTCTTTAATGAAAAATACATATTTTGTATTCTATCTAATGCAAAGGAATAAACATTTTAATCTTTTTGTTATGTATATTCCATGTATTAAGTGTATATATGATCACATAGGTTTAAATTTTTTTGCATGTATGTATACAGTTGCAAGTCTGAAAGAATGTATAGAAAATGTTTTATTTAAATTGTAATTACCTGCTGCATGAAAAATGCATGGGGGACCCTATGCATCTCTGCAATGGCAAAAATGTCTTAAGTCAACCAGATGTTTATCAAACATAACTGCATTTTGTTTCTGGACATGACTTCTGCTGTGGTATTTTAGCTTTGTAAAAGAATGTGCTTTGAATGAAAGGGTCTGGAAAAAACTCAACTTTTTTTTCTTTTTAAACATAAAAAGGCACCTACCCTCAAATGCAAGCATCATTCACTTTTTGATTCCATTTCAGACTACTGAAATTCTATTATAGTATTGTTAAATAGTGTAATACTGGTTTTCATTGCCATGCATAAGAATTATGGGGTTTATGCAATCTTTTGTTGTGGAGTTTTCACTAATTTAACTGTTCTCATTTTTTAAGGAAATGATTTATTCATGTGATGTCACAAAACTGTACATACTGCAGTGTGAAGTTTTTTTTAATTCTTTCAGTGTTTACTTCCTGCAGAAAATTTGAATAAATGAGAAAAATGCATCGAATATGTAGTTTTAATCTATTTATTGTACCATCCTGCATTTACAACATAAATGTTAACTCTATTTACACAAAAGTCCCCATGTTGTTGTTTTACATGTGGAATACCACTTGCTATTCCAATAGAACTATCCTTGGTTTGAGCATAATTCTCGCAGACTGAGCGACTGGGTTCATGCATCACCACAAGCAACTCAGACATTTCCACACTGCATAGTTTTTTGCCTGGCTGTGCCTGACAGATGATCAAGCTGTTTCTGTGCTGACATAGTTTCCACCCTCCTTGCTCCGTCCTCCCACTCTTAGCATGCATGTTATTAGCCACCATGCCTGAAATTCAATCACATTCCAGTTGGGAGGAACAGCTCCTGAGCTGCCATTCTTTCCAAGGGACTCTGTGGTAGCTGCATATCAGGACTGTGGAAACCATGATACCAGACTTGCACAGCCAGTGAAACCATGGTGGAGTATCAAAACCATAGAACAGACTGTTGTTTCTTACTGCAATTTTAAAATCAAGCTTACCCTGCTGAAATATTGTAACGGTTCAGACCACACAAAAAACTTTCCTGCTCAAGAAACGACCATTGCTTGCTGTGTCATGTGAATCCACCCATTCAGCAACCCCATGTGATAACATTTTCACATACTTTTATGCAACTATCACATGGAGTTCACAAATTTCTAAACTGGACTGATATTTACTTAGTGCTGTGGCTGTTTTATTGATCACATGAGCTTCCATCATCATGTGCTTCTCAAAGTAGTAATGTTCCAGCAAGTAATGTGCCATACTCATTTGGAACAAGTTTAGACAATGCTCTCTAACCCAATTATATCCCTTTGAAAGTACTTAATTGGTTTACTCTGGTACCCAAAAGTGTCAAGTTCATTGCAATGCATATGGGCAAATGAGCTCAGCACTGAACATCTTGTAAGGAGGAGTTTCTGTAATGATCCTAATATTCATGAAATAAGGGTTTTTTCATGCTCATGCTTTCTGCAATAACAAATGACTATCATAGTGAGGACCAGAAAAAGGCAAAAGTTTAGAAAGCTGTGTGAGCTCAAGAAGGGCATTTGTTTTCCAAAAAGAAGCTGTGATCCGAGAGCAAAGTTCTAGTTCAAAAACCAGGAGAGCTGCAGCTCGACTCTCTTCATGGATCATAATTATGAATATTTTGCATATATTAATGCCCTGTGTAACGATGATTATAAATGTAATGGATTCTGTGTTATGCAGCATCACTGTGTATGCTAGTCAAACTCAGTGTTTAAAAATTTACATTTATTTCTGTTACACATTTAGACTGTCCAGTAACTGGAGGTTCCTTTTGCACAATGTAAGGATAAATTTTAAAAAATCTGTAATGTTAAAGCTTGACAAAACCCAGCAAGGAGTAAAGGCAATCCAGCACACAAATTGAAAGTAAAAACATGAACATGAAAAATATTGTAACTTAGTGTTTTGCTTTTTTAAGGTTATGTCCTCTTCCATCCTAAACATAGATCAGACAATAAATGAAGCAATCTAAATGGTAAAAGTCAAACTAGAATACCACAGTGGACTGACATGGTCTTCTTCGAGGTCTCTGTGCATCACACCTGTTGGTCTGCACCTGCATGGAGCCAGTTGTAAGGAAGATCACACATTACTTTGGGTGAAAGCCTCTCCCCTTCCTGTTCCCTCTCAGTTCCCTCCCTGTCCCTCTCTCTCAGTTCCTTTTGACCACTTCCATGTTAGGGGAAACAGCTCTCTCTTCAGCTTGAGTATTTGTTCAGTGTTTATTACTTTTTGTCTCTACCACTTTCTCCTCCTTAGTTCCCTACTCAGCCTCCTTTTTACATCCATCTCTCTGTGAACTTTGTTTTTATTAACTTGTAAAATCTATATATGATCATTTTGCATCTTTTATCAGTCCTTTCTTCATTCTCAACACTCTGCCTTCCCCATCCACCACAAAGGTGCCAAAGACACCCTTTAGAAAGTGTCTGTTGTAGGAAGGAATGCCACCTCCCATGGACAGACACTCCCACTGCTTTTTTTGTTTGGGTGAGGGACACATTGTCATATGCCCATATTACCAGGTTTTTACAAAACAGACCTGGAAATAGAGGGCAGATAAACTGATTTGCATTGCCCATGGCTACTCTGCCCAGGCCGCTGAAGAGCCAGGAAATCAGCCAAGCATGGAAACCATGAAAGCCTTTGTTGACAGCAATATCCAGGGCTTGGTTGATCCCAAGAGAAAACTTGAATCTGAAAGACGTTTTGTTGCCAAGAGGGATCTCTCATCAACTGTTGACATCAGGGTCCTGGTTGGTCCCAAGACAGCACTTGGGTTCAAGAGACAGCTCAAGAGGCACCCAATACCAATATCCACCCAGTTGATCCAACAGAACATATGGAACTCATTCCGGAGTAGCCTGAGCACTCAATACCAGCTGAAGACCTGGGACCAGCAGCATCAGTACCACAGGGAGAAATACAGGACAGTTTCTTAGGCCTCTGACGCATTTTAAATACCCTTGTTATTTTGGTATTGAGGTGATCCACTCAACCATCTTCCGAGGCTTCAGCACCCAGGTGTCCCACTCGTATCTTGCTGGAACAGACTACACTTCTGGAACCAGAGAGGCTCTTATCCTGCTCACCAGGGCTGGAATGAGACTGTGCCTCTAACTTGTCACCAGCTTCCTGTTGATCCTGAAGGAGTTCAAGGGCATCCCATGGGGAAGATCATGACTCCCAACCCCAAGAGGATGTTCAAGACTACCAACCTCAACAGAGAGCTGCTTGGCAACATCTACCAAGTCCTGGAAAGAAATATACCATTCCTCTTCCGGCACCCATGGCCCAACTTGGTAATCACTGAGTCTGCACAGGGACAATTGCAACAGGAATATTTGACACTGGTAGACTTGGAAGTCAACACCTGGACAGTATAGCAAGGTAGGTCTACATGACCTCAACTCTTGGTCTTTGAGTCTCCAACTAAAAGGCCACCATAACCCTTTACCAACTATTCCTATGGGACAAAATCGGGCATGTGTGACCACCTTCCCAGTGAATACAGAAAACTGGCTTCTCAGCATTTCACTGTGACAAGGAACCATGTTGATGCGATTCCAAGGCAATGATAGGTGCTGGGGTTATCAGGAGGCATGTATGGCTGTTATCCATGAGGTTGCCACAAAGAGACCCACTCCCACTTTGAGAACCTCCCCTTTGATGGGAATGGCATCTTCAACGTGCACATGGATGAGTGCATGCACTCCCTACAGGAAGCCAGGATGACAGCAAGGAGGATGGTTATTCAACAATTACCAGGCTTCATCAGTGGTTTAGGAACCCCATCCTCCATACCAGAGCAGGACCTATGCTGAGTGTGCGCCAAGGTCTCAAACAGCCCCCACCCCCCACCAGGCCAGAAGGCACAACACCCAAACTAACATTTCACTGTGGAAACTTCCTGACAGCTGGTGCCTTGCAGGCACAGAGCCCCCATGTGTGCATGCACAAATGACCGCTGGAAGAATCACTTATTCCCTTCATGCAGTTTTCATGGTTCGCAAACCCCGGTTTGTTAGTACAGTTGGGTTCATGCAGCACAAAAAGCTATGGTTCAGCAGCAACCCATTCTCAAACTTGAGTATGAATTGTTGTGTGAATCCTGTCATTGTATCTTAAGACAGAAGCAAGCAGCATCTAAAATTTGTTATAACAAGCAGAAAAAACATTACTGGAAGATGCAAATTGTGGAACATGGTGAAGTAGAGAAAATAAGAAGTAGTTGGTTTATTAAAGTGTCAAAAAAGTGGGAACATTTGGGTTAATTGTGTATCTGTATGAACTTCTATTATCATAGTCCATGCACATACTTGCCTTCTGACTTATCCATTCCCAAGTCTATTATCTGCTCTGCAAGTCTGAACAGAGCACCTGGGTGGTTAAGTATAAATATTTTATTATTCAGATTTGCTAGAGATTGCAATCCTATACATTGCTTTAATTGGAGGAATGTATATGAATACTTCCTAATCTAATCAGAGGAAAGTATATTTGAATTCAATGGACTTACTCCCTGGTAAGGATGTGTAGGACTGGACACGTAAGAGGAATGGGTTGAACATCTATTAAAGTATTAAGCTGAGATAGTGCTTTACGTCTGGAAACTAAGAATTTAAAAAGTCCCACTATAATCACTGAACCCTATATCTATTGCTGTATATTTTTACTGAGTTTGGCAAAGCGGAAAAGAAGAATACCAGAAGTAAACTTGTGTTTTTGCTAGCTTTATCTTCTAATCAATGTAGGTTGAAAAGTCCATCAGTAGAACTTCAGAAAACGCAAAAGGAAAAAATGCTCAGAAAAACACGAACATTTTCTTTCTACATTTCATGACAGATCAAATAGACTAAAAAGAGGTAGTGTGAGAAGGTAATTCAATGGGGGGGGGGTATTCTGATTTACAGCAAAAAGAAAGAGTTGGATCATAGAGTTAAATAAATTTAATTCCCACTGATTTCAGTGGCATTGAAGTTCCATTAACTTAATCTGAGAGCAACCCACAGAGTACATTTAGTGCACTTATAAAAGTGTATGCATAGGAAGAAAATGCCAGCTAGAACAAAGCTTAACCTTGCAGTAAGTGTAGGATCATCATAACCCCAAATATATTTTTAGAAGTACAACACTCTTTCTCCAAAACCTGTCATTCTTTGTATTTTGGGTATAATTCTTTAAGACAAAAAGTCAATTGCTCTGTAATGTTTCATGCACTTTTTATTTGACCTTTTTATCAAGAATCAAACAGCAAGTACTTCTAGTGTACTGGGATGTAGATACTAAAACAGCAAAAATTCAGAGTGAAAAAAGCTACTTTATGTAGTAGGCACAATGAAGATAAATTAAGCATTCTTTGTATTTATTCTTACATCAATGGAAACTGTCCATAGTATTTATTTTTCTATCTATAGAGATCTTGAACTGAAAGAAAATATA